ACAAGCTGCATTCAGTTCTACTTTTGTTATGTTTGCAACAGGATGACCCAGCCTCAGCCTGAATGTCTACACTACAATTTTATAGCCCCACAGCCTGAGCCCCGCAAGCCCGAGTCAGCTAAAACAGGCTAGTTGCAGGTCATTTATAGCAATGTAGACATACCCTTGAGGGCAAATTCACCAACTAGTTCTTGCAGATGTCTCCTGGGAGCAGAATCAGTGTGGTTTTTCTATGCAAGGGGCTGGGGGACTGCGTTTGGGGCTTGTGAAAGATTATGCATGTGTGCCCTCTATGGCATAGGCTCCGACTCGGCAGGGGCTTCGTGCATCACCACATGTTCTGTTTGGATGGCTGCAGGGCCAGGCCAGTGATCTCACAGCACAGGCATCAATGTACCTCTGCAGGTGCTCCAGTGAGTATGAAGGAGGATTCTTCCTCCAAAACTCACTCTCCCAAGATCATATCTGCACAGCTCCCTCACCATTCAAGGAAGACTGTTCTACAGAACTATCTGGTCTATGATTTGTAACCTTCAGGATACCCCTCACCCCAAATTTACACTCTGATCAGTGTAATACAATTTTCAAATTTAGGGTAAAGAAAAACCCTATTCCCAGTCATGCATAGACTGAATAATGATGGAAAACTATCTGCACTCCATAAAACAACCTTGTTGTCAAGGGCCCTCTCTTGTGAAGTGCTGAGAATTCTCACTGAAACATATGGGAATTGCAAGCACTCAGAACTCGGTAGGAGGAGCTCAGGCGTAGGCCCTATGAAATCTTAGAAGCAAAGCTGACATACAAGTAAATGGGTATAAGGTAGTGAAGCTCAGGGGGTAAGATTACTTTAAACATGCAGAGAGGGAAGGTGGAAAATGTTAGAAACAGGTTCAATTAAAATCCTCCCCCAGTTTTTCTTAACCTGCTATGGCTAAAGGTGGGACGGAAACCCCAAATAGATCACAATGAAAAATATGAGGGAGAATGAGACACTGAGGTAATAATTTCTCTAATATACTAAACAATTTTCTAAAAGTACTTTCATAAATTAGCTCATTTACAGTAAATACACAGCATACAAACGGCTTATATGGGGACTGGATGGCTCAAGAGAACAGCATTTTCAGGCATCGGTTTGATTCCTGCCCAAGTTGGCAGGAATTGAGGATGGTTTTCGGAGTTCTGTAGCCTTGCTAAAGTAAGTTGGTAATCTCAGCATAGCTCCTCGTGGGAAGATGTCCATGTCAAAGCTGCCATCCCAATTGGGAGCCACTTTTGAGAGCCTTTGCAGAGAGCCCAAGGATCACACGAGTCAGACCATGCAGATTTAACTACCTTCTCATCCCTAAAAGGGAATCCTCCAGATCAGAACTGAAGCACACTTTGGAAGATCACTGATCACTGCTGCCTAGCTTGTGTTAGTAGTTTGCACTCAGATGTCACAATGAGGGGTTAGTTAAAGTGACTGGAACAGAAGAGAATTAAAACATATGCCGAACGCTTCAGAGTAAAAGCAACCAAAGAAAGTCAAAACCAGACTAAAAATGATTTAAACACATTTTAAGCATATGGGCAAGAACTCAGTGCACAAACCCAAAACTTTTGGATCCATTCCCAGAGCCAAGACACCAGCCTTTTAAATACAATGTATCCATCTCTGTCTGACCTAGTCTGTTTTGACTAGTTTTTAGCATAACCACTTAAGAATTTTATTTTACCGGCATGGAAAGAACGAGGTTCAAAGAACACTAGGGAATATGTGGCAAAATATAACATGGTTGGATCTCTTCCACTGGATTATTCTACTCCGCTACACCACTGAAGAAACAATCTCATACAAGGGCTGCATGCTCAAAGTCTACAGGGAATTAGGTCAACATCATTCAAGGTAAGTGACACTTTAAATAACTTTAAATTAGCTGTTGACAGTCAGGTACATAGATTGATGAGTGATTACACGAGGTCCCCAACATTATCATTTTGTGGTGGAAGGGAATATTCAAGAAAAAAGAAGAAAGGTAAGAAAGTTTAAAGTATGATAAATATGGTTTTGCCAATCTGTGATGCCCTCAACCAACAGTGAAGTTTATTTAAGGATGCTGGAAACCTGTAAAACAAATTGCTCTCCCTAAATCACGAATTAAAAAAAAAAAGTTTTCTAATTATGCTAACTTGGGTCCAGGAATATTATAGGCAATGCTAATACAGAGTGATATAAAACTCTCTACTGAGTATGACTGGGATGAAGAAAGGAAGCTTTCCTCTTTTTTTCAAGTTACTGGGCCAAATACAGACCTGATGTAAGTGAGCGGTGATGAACTAGTATATAGTGGGTGTGAAATTTGGCTCACTCTGTGCTTGACAGACATCTTAATTACAATATTCCGTAAAATGTGCTTTTAAATAAAATTAACTAAACTTACGAATCCATAATTAGCACCATTTTACAGAACTAATCAGAACAAGTTTGTTGAAGCACTCCAACTATTTACAATGAGAGTGAATTTAGCCCTAGGGTTCACTTTACTATTTTGTCTCAATTTTCTTGTAATTTCATCCATCACTTTTTTCCAGTCCTCCAAAGGTGATGGATAAAACACAGAAATAAATAGGACCAACTGTTCATAGAACCCTAAGGGGAAACGTAATTTTGTTATAAATAATCCTTGGCACAAATCATGGAAATGCTATACTAAAATTGTTTGTTGAATCATTTATGAATGAGGACTTCATTTTAAATTTGCAAATAAGGTGTAATGTTTTTTAAAAAGTTTGGAACCCAGTCCTCGAGAAACAGAACAGACATGCAAACAGAAATCAGGGTTGCTTTAAGTTTCTTTTCAAATGGGAGCCCCATGGGATGCTAGATTTTTATTTGTATTTATGGAAAGCAGAAGATAACATGTTATAAAATTCTTTTCTTAAAAAGTCACCATCTCAGTTTTATTCTTGCTTTATGATTTACCAAATGGAAAACAAAGCTGTACTCTATAAAGCAACCAAAGAATAATATGAGTTTTTATATGGGTAACTTTTAGCAGCTCCCCCTATGGGCATTCTACAAATTTGCAATGGGCTCCATTCACTTTTTCTCAAGTGATAAAATGAATGCATATATGATGTACAAATGAGATCATTAAAATACTGCAAGAGGGAAAGGGGGACAAAGAGGAACTAATGAAAAGGAGAAATTCTAAATTTCTTTCAAAATTAAAAATCTGAGGGTTTATTGTTACAAATTAAGAGGTAAAGTTCAATTAGATGTAACCCTTCTGCAAAACTGTATGTTACATTTGGCGTGCTCTGGTTTCAGAAGAGGGAATTCTGTTCTCTCATGAAGAATACAAGGAACATAGGATGCAAAAGTCACACACAAGTTTTTTTTTAAAGGTAGCCATCTTTTGTCCATCACTATTCAACATCTGAATGTCAGATATTTGTACTGTTTCATAGCTTTTTGAGTGTCTGCTGTCTCCCCTTGTAATGTGCACACTACTGCTGGGATTGTGCTGTGCTGCATGGCAGTGTTCCTTGAAAGTGCCAGAGTCCCACTGCAATGTCAGCACTTCCAAGGGTAACACACTTAGTACAGGGGCCATGGTAGGAATGGACTTTGCTCAGTGAATGAGGTCGGGTAAGCTGGTTAAAAGGTTGTTGGAATGTCTCACAATTTTGTTGTATGCTGCAGAGTGACTCCTGCTCAAGCTGCTTCCTTTCCAAAGTACAAGGTTAAGTAAAATTCAATAGAGATTTAATTAAGTATGCTAGTTTCTTTCCTCTCTTTCTGAGAACTTATTGCACAAAACATAACAAAGCCTACCATGTAAACTGATGACTTTCTACTTGATTTACATTATAGAGTTTGGTCTGATTGCAAGCCTGAATCCTGACCCTCTGGTAAGTGCTTTAGAGTCAACATGATCAGTTTGGGGTAACTACAACATCCCTGTAACTTTTTTTTTTAAAACTTAAGTGACTGGTACATACTTTCAACCATAGCTCCATCTTAACATAGTTTTTCGTTTGTAATCAGGTACTTGTTTCAGTGGTACCTAGGGTATATCGGATGAGCAGCTCTGGAATACCATGCTTAGAGACAACACAATGAGGGTTCAGCAAACAGCAATGATAAACAATCCAGACATTACAAAATAAACATTTTCTCAACCATAGCTCCTTCTTAAGAGAAAGATGCTTATAAACTAAGGGCCAGATTTTCAGAAGTGCTCAGCACCCAACAGCTCCTACTGAGAACATAGGGAGCGCCCTTTAAATTTACCATGTACTACTTAGTCTGAAACTAAAATGAGAGAGGTCAAAGCAATATGACTGGACAGCACCCTGGTAGGGACTCCAAGACCCTCCCCTCTTCTCAGCAGTAGGGTGTGAAGGTCGAACTCCTCATCAGGGCATTAGTCTCTGTACCTCACTGATGCCACCCTCTCCCGCCTTGCGCCTCCCCCCCCAATCTTCCATACTGATTTCTAGCTAGTAGACTTAGTCCTTTGGCTAGTGATGGACTAGTAATTTTACAAAGCCCCATATTAAATCATCTCAACAGATTTAGATGGATTTCCTACTCCTTTAACAATAGATATTGGTGGAATCACAATTTTTATTTAGCATGTAAGGGAGCAACAATTAGGATCAGCTGCTTATTTCTAAATAAAGCTCACTAGTTTGCTTTTGTCAGAGAGATTGCATGGGCTCATCACAAAACACATGCAGATGGTAACTTTTGATTACCATATCTACAAAGGCCATTGTGCAATAACCACTATCTAATATTTGAAAAAACAATTAATTATCCTGACAAACTCTTCATGGGACTATTACAAACTTTCAGAGTTATCAGAACACAAAGAGTGGCATCTCTTTCTTAGTCTTTTATCTGCACATTGAAATATTTGTTTATCTAAACAGACCAAGGGAGAAGACACATAAAAGGAACAATAGGTTCATTTCTCATTATAGGGAACAGGTGTGGGCAGCCTTACCTGATCTGTCCTCGCACCAGCGGTCTGTTTTTTGTCCTGTTCATATTTGAGTCAAAGGGAACCTCAAAGAACTGTATAAAAGAAAAGGAAGGATTGAAAGGATGCCGGAGACCATACCAAGCATAGAATGTACTGTCTGTTTTTATAGGTGCTTTAGTCTTGATTTTTGAAGGTTCAGAATAACAATTAAAATGGCAACCCTCCTTTTACATTAGTTTTGATAGCGTACATTAATACTTTTGGCTTCCCCTTAAAAAGAAAACTACCTGGAAGACAAAAATATTTTGAACGAGTCCATAAAATGTAATAATTTGAAGTAAAGCCGAATTTCAATTTCTGCTCTTGATAAGTTACATACACACACACACACGAAACAGCCCCCTCCTCTGCCTCCAGTTGTACATTATGTAAACAGTCCTTGCAAATAAGGTGTTTCTGGTTTTGCAAGATGAATGCTATAAATGTTTTCAAGATCATCCAACTTCTGAGAACCCATGACCCGCTCAAAAATCAATCAACTCTGGTAAATGCTACTGCAACTACATGTAGCATCTAGTGATATGATAAATGGTAAATGAAGAAGCCATATGGAATTATTTAGTGACACAACCCAACTTGACTTTAAACACTGCCTATGTGAAAAGTAGAGTGCTATCATGCTATGAACTCCAGTGGGGTTTTATTGGACAATGTTTTAAGAACTTATTATTCTTATTATTTCTTATTATTATTATTATTCTATTATTATAACAAATCCAGTTTTCCATATAGCAAGACCCCATAAAGCTATTTAGATTTCAATAAGCTAATGACATAAAACAACCAGGGTCATTTCTCAGTGGTTCACCAATACACCAGTGCTTACTGGACACTGACCTCTATTTGTGGAATGAACACTCGGGGCAAGATACCAGTTATATGGGACATAAATATATGGAAAAAGTAATGATGTAATGAAATGTATGATTCTGAACAAAGCCTGAATGACTGAATACTGTTGCCTGCAGATAGATGCTTGACTTATGATGGGCTGGACTGTGCTATTTTTCAGCCAGACAGTGTACCTGTTTACTCACCTTGAGTTAAAATGAACAAACATCTTAATTTTGACAATGCCACATTACTGGCCTGGCTACTTGCCAAAGGCAAGCTCCTACCCCCATTACAAAGACAAGAAACTCATGTGCGATCTGTGCAGAAGGCTAGTATATGTCAAAAATGGTTCGGGTACCACAATCCTCAAACCATTTTGTGACTTTAGTTTCTCACGTTTGCAAAATTATTGATTATAATTAATAAAGTCACATCTATAGTGCTGTTAATTCACAAGGCATAATCATTTATGTCACAGTAGCGCCCTATGATGAGAGCCTTGTGCTAGGAGCTGTAAGAGACTATGTCTTCACTAGAAATGCCGCAGCTGAGTCCGCTGTAGCGCTTCAGTGTAGATACTCACTACAGCAACGGGAGGGATTCTCTGTTGCTGTAAAAACCACGAGGAGTCCTTGTGGCACCTTAGAGACTAACAAATGTATTTGGGCATAAGCTTTCGTGGGCTAAAACCCACTTCATCAGATGCATGGAGTGGAAAATACAGTAGAGAGGTATAAATACACAACACATGAAAAGATGGGAGTTGCCTTACCAATTGAGGACGGGGGGTCAGTGCTAATGAGCCAATTCAATGCAGGTGGAAGTGGACTATTCTCAACAGTTGACAAGAAGGGGTGTCCAGGGAGATTGTATTTATACCTCTCTACTGTATTTTCCTCTCCATACATCTGATGAAGTGGATTTTAGCCCACGAAAGCTTATGCCCAAATAAATTTGTTAGTCTCTAAGGTGCCACAAAGACTCCTCATTGTTTTTGCTGATACAGACTAACATGGCTACCACTCTGAAATCTGTTGCTGTAGTTAATCTACTTCCCAGAGAGACAGTAGCTAGGTTGATGGAAGAATTCTTCTGTCGACCTAGTGCTGTCTACACTGGGAGTTAGATCTTCTTAAATATGTTTCTCAGGGGTTGGATTTTTCACACCCGAGTGACATAGTGGGTTTGACCTAACGTTTTAGTTTAAGCCTGTCCTAAGATCATGCCCTGTCCTAAATGGTTTACAAAGGATCTGGAACATGACAAATACAAGAGATGTTGAGAGGAAGGGAAAAGGAGCTTACTCGGAGAAAGATGTGAAGAACAATAAATATGCTTTGAGAGACAGACTGTTTCACGCAAAAGAAAGTAACACCGTCAAAGTCAAAAACGAAAGATGATGCTGAAGCAGGGAATGAAGTTAAAGGAAAGGGACAAGTACAGGAACCAAGGGGAGTACAGGGAGACATGGGAGCAGAGAGGTATGTAGGAGCAAAATTACATGGGACCTTATAGGTGAGAAGCAGAAGCAGCAGCTGCTGCTTGGATTTTATATGATAAGAGAGGGATTCAAGGAGGCACTGATATAGTTCATGTAGCGGAAGAAAAGATTATTTTGGCACTAGCATCTCGTAGACTGTAGGTGGAGAGGTAGAAGTCAGAAAGGAGAAGGGTACAGCAAGCGATGAGCAGATGCAAAGAAGGGTTTTGGCAGTGAAGGCAGTCTATATAATACAGATTCATTCACAAGAAATAAAAACAATTTGTACTTATCACTTGTAGGTCTTAATCTCATATTGTACGTTAAGTTCTTCACCACTGGGAGTTTTGAAAGATTCCCACCTCACTCATTACATTATAATATTATAATAGCACTGGCCAGTTCCATCACAGATCAAGTTAAAAGAGATTATTCCATTACAAATCCCAGTTTTATGTGGCCTCAATGCTGAAAAATTAAATTGGGAATGAAATGTAGCACAAGTGGTCTTTGACCCTGAATGAATCTTTTCCATCACATTTAAAAAAAACCCAACCCTGCAGCTGTAAAGTATTAGCATTATAGGCAGAGCTGGTAGAGACACCTATAGCTGGTTAACACTTTCCATTATAAGACCCTGTTTCAAATTGCTTATAAATTTGGCAAACTTTAAACATTCAGGCTGAAATTTTCCATGCCGGCGTCTGCCTGAGGCTGAATTTTTCTAGAAAGCGGCAACCATTTCCAAAAATAAGGAAAAATAAGTTTGGGGGAATTTTTTTGGCTCATGTTAAAATGTTCTACAGCTGCTCAACTGAAAAGCTCTACCACCTCTATACTTTGAGCAAGAACTTGATATTTGGCAGAGGGGTCGGTCTCATGTCAGGGATGTGGCTGTGAAAATCTACTAATGGTTGGCCAAGTTACAAGCTTCTAAAAACTGCAGTTTGCACACGCCAAGGAGAGGTTTACCTGCCACTGCTCTTCCTGATGCAGCTGTGGCACCAGATACCAGAACTGAGAGCAGGAACACAGTTTTTCCCATGCTTTCTATGTTCGTCCTGCTGGTGCTGCCCGTGAGGAACAGGAGTCAAACTGACTTGAATGCAGGCGGGCTAGGAGCAGTGTTGGGAGAGCAGGAGATGGGAAGGAGGGATGAGAATCAGGCAATGGAAGAAGACATGGACAGGAGCCAAGAGGAAGCGGGGATAGAAACAGAGGTGGACAGGGACTGAGGAGTCTATAACCAATAGATCACACTACCCCTCAAGAAACTGGAATAGGAAGCAAGATTCTTGAGTCTCTACATTCCTCTGCTCTCAGCAAATAGCTACGAAATCCACTGGAAAAGTGGGTCTCTCATCTCATATGGCTGGTCCACACAGAAATTAACAGCCTACTACTATTACTATTAACTCAAGGAGTAGATCTAACCCTGCTGATGACCCAACTGAGAGTGAACATGGTTCTACAGGATGGATTTCTGGTTTTGTCAGTTTGCTTTTAAAAAATGTAACAAACTACATTACAAAACAAAACAACTATGTTGAAAGAATATTAAGATTGCAAAGTCAAACAAATGTTATACAGAATTAAGGTTGCCTGTAGAACCTTAATGTGGTCCCCTTGTGCATATGCATTATGATGTCGTCTTTAATTACATGATCACATCCTGTTTTTTCCACAGGACTCTCTACCTCCTTCAGTGCACAGGATGGACCTGGCCCCGGAAATGAATCAGAGTTGTGTCGTTAATGAGCGTTGTCTGTAGCACCTGTGCTTTGTTGATTGCAGAAGCTGGATGGTATGAAGTGAATGAGGCAGGTGATTGCAGGAAGAACAATGATGATCTTGTGGTTAAGTCAGTTGAATGCCACCCTGGAGAACTAGATTCTATCCCTGCCTTTGCTACACTTACACCAACCAGATGACCAGTAACTGAATGTCTCATTTTCTGGGACTCTGAGGTCTGATTTGCAGAAAACTGCTGACTGTTCACAAGTACAACTGAGGTCAATGGGAGCAGTGTTTTCAACATATAAAGTTCTATAAAAATACTGATAAGGAACTGATGTACAGTTTAATGTGCTAGGTGCTGTATAGACAAATAGGAAACAGACTATAAACACTCCACATATTTTAGGCAGTTTATTTTAAAACTATAGTTTGTGCTTTGAGAGGTATAGTTTTATCACTTAACTGCCCTCCCCCTGCCCCCGCCAAAAAAACAAAAGGCAGCAAAGAATTACAAATGTTCAGAAAAGGAAAAATGCTCCGTTTGTATTTGAAACTAATGATTGCTTCTGACAGCTCAGCATTTTGCTAATGGTTTGTTTCACAGTTACATTTCAGACACAATTACATTTAATGAAGGAAAAATATCATTTGACATCAGAGTGGTAAAGCAGGAAGGCAAATTATATAATCTAAAGTATTTTTCTTGAAAACATCTTTGGCTGTGCTCAAATAGGCTTTTTCAAGAAACTTCTACAAAACTTTGCTTTATTTATAGTTGTAACTCTGACTTCAGTGCATTTACTCCTGATTTACATTGATGAACTGATCAGGAGAATCTGGCCTGTAAATTATTTAAAATTGGCTAAATGTATTCACTCTGCAATGGATGGAATAAAAATGGTAGTGAGGTTTTAACAGAACTGTGTCGGGAAAAACATAAAATGATTGTAAAACAAAGGGCAGCTAGACATTTGACATTTA